GGTTGCAGGAACAGCAACTCATATTCCGCTTGGGAACCCTGCAGCCCTACGGTATCAATGTGGATTTCACAAGCTTCAAAATCTCCCCTCCCCCTACCGCATCCTAAAACCAGTCCAGCTCGTCCCTGCCTCCCTAACCTGTTCTTCCTCCCACCTATCCCCTCCTTCCACCTCAAGCCCCACCCCCATCTCCTACCGACCAACCTCATCCTGCCCCCTTGACCTGTCCGTCCTCCCTGGACTGACCTATCCCATCCCTAACTCCCCACCTACACTCACCTTTACTGGCTCCATCCCCGCCTCTTTGACCTGTCTGTCTCCTCTCCACCTATCTTCTCCTCTATCCATCTTCTATCCGCCTCCCCCGCTCTCCCTATTTATTTCAGAACCCCCTTCCCCTCCCCCATTTTCTGAAGAAGGGTCTAGGCCCGAAACGTCAGCCTTTCTGCTCCTCTGATGCTGCTTGGCCTGCTGTGTTCATCCAGCTCTACACCTTGTTATCTCAGATTCTCCAGCATCTGCAGTTCCTACTATCTCTAGTGAATATTCTTATCCTCTTAAAGACTGTAGCAGATTGAGGGGAGTGCTGCTCCACCGCACCACCCGGTGGCTGCAGCCTGCAACTGCAGTGTGACTGTTTACATAAATAAATCAAATTGCGATGTGCAGATTTTGACAGAGGAGGGAGGTTGTGACACATTAGTAAATACCGTGCTTCTGAGCCAGAAGGCCTCATTCGAAGTCTCATCTGTCCTGGAGCTGTGTCATATCTGGTTTTAAAAAATTATAACGGCAACCATTGAGAATACACTGCCCAAACAACATGGGCAGTCCTTCTACTCAGAACATTTCCTTTGGCACTAAGCAGTTAACACCTCTCTGTATGCAGCACAACCTCACCTCTCTGGATGGGGATACAGAATAGAGGAAAGGAGACCATTCAGCCAGGTTCTGATGAAGGGTCCCAACCCGAAACATCCACTTTCCTGCTCCTCTGATGCTGACTGATTTGCTGTGTTCCTCCATTTCCACACCGTGTTGTCTCTGAGACCATTCAGCATCCTACCTTGTGTTTTTCCCACTGTTGTGTTAGTGCCCAGGACAATTATATCCCCACAGGATACCATAGGACAGTGCAGGCAACATGGTGGCACGGTGGTTAGCAGGTACTGCCCCACAGTGCCAAGCGCCCTGGGTTCAATTCCCGCTTTGGGCAACTGTCTGTGAGGGAGGTAGTAGGAACTGCCGATGCTGGATAATCTGAGATAACTAGGTATAGAGCTGGCTGAACACAGCAGGCCGAGGAGCAGGAAAGCTGATGTTTTGGGCCTAGACCCTTCTTCAGAAGTCTGTGAGGGAGTTTGCACATTCTCCCATGTGTGTTTCCTCTAGGTGCTTCCCACAGACCAAAGGTGTGCAGGTTAGGGTAGATTAGCCATGCTTAAATTACCCTCTAGTGTGCAGGCTGGGTGGACCAGGGGGTGGGATGCCCTTCCGGGGGCCAGGCTGGGCCAAATGACCTCTACCTTGCACTGCAGGCATTCTATGAGTAGGGGGGGAGTGGGAATCTTAGGAAGATGAGTAGACTATTCAGCCCGTCATGCTTGGTCCAGATCTCTTAATAACGGGGAAAAAAAAAGTCTTAAATAAATTTCTTAATAAAGAAATAATTTATCTCAGATTTAAAATTGACAACTGGCATCCGCTAATGTTTGGGAAAGACGGAGTGTGTGGATCTGTGTGGGAGAATGTCACCAGCACAGACCCCCAGCCCCAACGAACAGACACAAACCTACAAGCCGAGGTGTACAAGCATCAGGAACACGCAATTTTTAAAAATGATGTTTAAAGAAAATTAGGTGGAAAATCCTTTGATCCACACTGCAAGGCATCCACGGTTTCTCATCTTCCCTGAAGGGCTGAGGCAGTTTGAGTTTTCGACTCACTTCAGACAACTTATTTCATGCCTAATGTGTGTTTAAAAATATTTTTTTGATGTGGGTCTGTCAAACTGGAGCCGGGGTGGGGGGGGGGTTCAAGGGTGTTACAAACTGGGAATGGGTTTTGGAAAAGTCTTTCTCAAGTGTGTTGCTCCAATCAGGAATGGCAGAGACCACGCCCCCGGCTTGGGCCATGTGACTGGCGCAGCCAATCGGGGGACGTCTGTCTGTTACATTGTGTCCATTTCATCCGGCGAAACTGATTTGGATACATTTCAGCCGCGTTACATTGTATCCCGGTCCGCTGTTACTTTCCTGAGAGAGACCGAGAGGGAGAGGGAGAGGGAGAGGGAGAGTGGGGAATCGAGTCGGTTTAAGGAGAAGGAAAGCGTACCCTGGATCAGGGGGTGAAATAGTTCGACACATGGCTCGCAAAGCGGTTGCGAGCGCCCCCAGCCCCGGGCTGGATCGCCGCCGGATCGGGGAGAGGCTGGAAGCCAGCCTGGCCGGCTTGCAGGAGCTGCGGCTTCTCCGGGAGAGACACCGGGAGACCATCCAGAGGCTGCTGAAAGGACAGGAGGAGGAGGAGGAGGAGGAGGAGGTGATGGAGGACGAAGAAGACGTGGAAGAGGAGGCAACAAGCGGGGGACCCGGGATCAAAACCCCAGAGGGACTGCAGCATCCGGCTGGAGCAACAGGTCGCGCCGAGCAGGTAAAGGAGGAATGGGATCACTCTGGGATCTGGGACCATTTTGGGATTCGGGATCAATTCGGGTTGAATCTGGCTTAGAACGGAACTTGGAATCACTCTGAGATTCGGGATCGATCTGGGATTTGACTGCAACTTGGAATCATTCTGGAATTTGGGAGCATTTTGGGATTCGGGATCAGTCGGGGATTTGATTGGAACTTGGAATCATTCTGGGATGTTGGGCCTTTTGGAGATTTGGGATCAATCTGGGATCATTCTGTGTTTTGAGATCCGTTTGGTATTTGACCAGGAGTTGGAATCATTGTGGAATCTGGGATCTGATCGGAACCATTTCTGGGAATTGATGATTAGGGTTAAATCTCCCTCAAAACCACCTCGACAACTTGCCTTCCTACCCCTGTTGTGAAGGTGTAAAGGGTTTGGACTGGGATGGGGCTAGGGGAGAGGTGGTCTCATTGAAGGGTGGGGGAGGTGAATGGCCTCCTGCTGGTTGCTTGCTGCCTGAGACAGACCCGAGAGAGCCACCAGCCCTGAACCATGGACCTTGTGCATCTCTGAGATGGAGAGTTTAAGATCTATTCTAAGCTGCATATCTAGGCTGGCAGTGTTGAGGGAATCCTGCGCTGTCATTTAGGTGCTGGGGGGGGGGGGGTGAGAGGAAAGGGTTAATTGAAAATCTCGCCTGTAATTTGGGGTAAAATGTCCCAGGGCACCGCTGATTGAAAATTTAACAAGCCAATCCCCTTAATGTGGAATCCTGCTCTGCTAAACTCCTGATCCCAGATCAAAGTACTTTGTTTTTTTTATGTTGTTGTTAATTCCAGTGGCAGGTGATTATAGGGGAAAGTTTTCAGAGTGCATGCCTGGAACTGCTGTTGCTTTTATCTGGGGGAGAATGAATCTCTGGCGTGCCACCTCTTCAGATCGATCAGCTCCTTTCCCACCCAGGAGCCCAGCTCGGATTGCCCTGAGTCTCTGGAGGGCACTGGGGAGCCAGATTTAACGAGGGCACCCTTTTGAAGAGATGTTGGCATGCAATGACAATGGGGCACTTGGCTCCATCTGACTCTGCCATGGCATTTGGGCGTATTGTCTGCACTCTGAAGTTCTGAGAGTTGATGTATCTGACTCCGAGACGCTGCAAGACTGTTCCAGGACTAGGATAGGGATAAATCCCATGGACAGTTCACACAGACTGGGCTCGTATCCCTGTGAGTGTTGGAGATGAGGGGAAATCTGATCGAGGGGTTCAAGATTAGATGATCAATAGGATCAATAAATGTTACTTCCCTAAATTCGAGCCAGACCAATTCAGAGTGATCCAGGAAGCACTTTCTTGCACAGAAGGCACAGTGGAAGTCTCGAACTCTGTTCTCCGTTCCCCCCCCCGCCCCCCCCCAAGAATAAAACTTGAAGTGGATAGATGTTTGCTGGATTAAGGGTGTCCAGGATTGACGGGAGATGGGGTTGACACATAGGTTAGCTGCGATCTGATCGAACAGTGGGCAGACTCGAGGAGGAGGGGTGGGCCGAATGGCCTCCCCCTGTTCCTGTGCAACAGGCTTGAGGAGGGAGGCTGAATGGGCAGTTAGCACCTGCGGCTGTGCACAGCAAGATCCCATGACTCATCAGTAAAATGAGTGCGATGAGACTCTGATTTTTAGATGTATTCTTAGTCCCCAGCACGGGGCTAAGTCTCCAGTAGAAGACCTCAAATCTCCTGGATGGGGAGCAGAATTGTATACTGTATCTACCGCAGCCTCCCTCTACCGTCACTGTATCTACCACAGCCTCCCTCTACCAAGGCAGGGGATCAACCCTAATTCAATGGAGATGCAGGAGGACATGCCAAGTAGCAGCACCAGGCATACCTACAAGTGAGGTATCAACCTGGTGAAGCGACAGGACAGAACTACTTGTCAAACAGTGGAAAGGACAAGTGATACAGAGTGCTGTGTGGTTCCCACATTCCAGCAAGTCAGACCTCGGCTCTGCATTCCTTCCACCTCCAACGCTGGGCAACTAAGCAATTTGTGAAATGGTGGGGCTGCCCAGTCAATATTTATCTGGCTTTACGCAGTCACAGCAGTGTGTACCATCTACCAGACGCACTGCAGCAACTCACTAAGGTTCCTTGGATAGCACCTTCCAAACGCATGATCTCTGCCATGTAGAAGGACAAAGGGGCAGCAGATACATGGGAACACCACTCCCCTTGCAAGTTCCCCACTGAGCCCCTCACTAACCCTGACCTGGAAATATAATCAGCCGTTCCCTCAGCGTCGCTGGGTCAAAATCCTGGAACTGCTTCCCTAAGGGCATTGTGGATGTTCCTTGCACCCCAAGGACTGGTGGCTCAGGGAGGCAACTCACCACCACAGGGTCAATTCGGGACAGGCAATAAATGCTGGGCCCTGCCAGTGATGCCTATGTTCTCCAAATGAATATATTTTTTAAAAATTGCAGAGTATCCACCTATGGGTGACACTTGAACAGGGAGGGGACACAGGACAGTCCTGAATAAATCCAATGGGGATATCTGGGGAAGATGACCACCTTACACCGCACCCCCCACCCCCCCCCCCCATCCCATGAGAGGGGGACCCACTCCCACTGGGAGTGGCGAGGGGAATAGGGTGGATGTATTTATAGAGAGAAACCTGGATAAACACACCAGGCAGAAAGATAGGCTGGAGGCGGCATAGAAGATGCAAGTGGTTTGGAGGGGTGGGTGGGGAGCAGTCTGGTTTCTGCGTGGAGCAGGAACAGCAAGCACAGGGAGCAGATGGGCCAAATGGCCCGCTAACACCATCTCGAAGTGGCGGGGACACAATTAAAGTGTCCCAGCCCCCACCCCACCCCGAACGAAAAAAGAAACGATTGAATCTCAACAGCTGTGCCCAGGGGGCATTGAATGCATGACTGAAGTGTGTACAGAAATTGTGGTTTCACTCTCTCTGCAGATTCCACATGCTGGCTTTGTAGAGGGAGTAGGGAGGGGTGGGGGGGGGGGCGTGGTGTGTGGAAAGGTAGAATTTTAATTTAATTTAAATATAGGCTTGCTCAGCTACACACCCAATGGACCTTGATGGATGTTAATCCCTTAATTGTTTGCCTGTCTGCTGTTATCTCCTACCGTGTTGACTACACTCGCAGGCTCCCAGCTTGCGAGCTACCCACCGAATGTAAACAGAAATTAATGGAGAGCCTAGGATGGGGCCAGGTCTGTCTTAAGTACACAGCAGCAAGCTGGAGCTTGATTTTGAGTCTCTCCTGAAAAGGTGCCCGTGCCCGGGTGTCTGGGCGCCAGGGAGGGTGGGTGAAGGTGCCCTCCACTCCCACCCACCTTCCCCCAACTCTCTCTCTCCTCCCCAGCCTAACGCCACCCCCTCCTGGGAACGTCCGAATAGGAAGCAGAGTTTGTGGTGGCGGGGTTAGGGGAGACTTTGATCTGCTGCAGCCATTCGGGGAAACAGAGCATATAGGAGTAGGTGGCCATTCGGCCCCTTTGAGTCTGCTGTACCATCCAACTCTTGCTGCTTTCCCTGTGATCCTTTCAGCTGTACAGGTTATCTCTAACTTGTGTCTGGTCTGAACCATTGACCACTTCACTGGACAATAATCCTCTTAATAGCATTCATAGTTCCAAAGGTGTAGGGGCCGGAGGAGGTGACAGAGGTAGGGAGGGGGTGTAGGAGCTGGAGGGGGTTACAGAGATAGGGAGGGGGTGTAGGAGCTGGAGGGGGTTACAGAGATAGGGAG